TGGAATGATAACTACGAAATTCGTACCTACTAGAGAACAATTGGTAGACATTATGACCAAAGGTTTAGGAAGATTGCAACATGAAAAATTCATGTCTGGGCTCTATCTGAAGAACATATATAAGACACCAGCTTGAGGGGGAGTGTTAAGAATCAAGCTGGCAATATGACGTGGCAAAGTTTGCTATATTTAGTTAGTGCAACAGAAGTTAGTTAGTTGTTTTATAAAAGATAGTTAGTAGTTAGTTTATAACAGAATGTATATAAAGCTTTGTAACTGAGCAGAAAAAGTTAAGTTGAATTTGATATTCATTTTCCAGAAGTCACCTTCACGAGTCTTCCTCTCCTCTCATCTTTCTCTCTTCAATTCATTTTCCTCAAATTTAACACATTTGCTATCTAAGTCGAAGTCTCAAAAATGTATGCTATGAATTATTTGTACGAATTTAGATTAGGAGAGAATTTATACTGGCGAGTGGGGAAGTGTGGGATATCATGCAGGTACGCAGATATATTAGGTACTGGTTATTTTCAACATACAGAAAGAAATACTACTTAATTTTCTTTCAACGAAGTGAGTAGTCGATGGCTAAGAAACAAATAAGTCAAAATCCCGAACCAGTTGAGTTGATAACTATTTTTAGGGAAAAATATAAAAATTATTAGAAGAGTTAAAATTAAAATAATTAGAGTAAATGATGAGAAATTATGTTATGAAAACATTTTAATATTATGGATGCAATAACAACGTATCCATTAAATCTGGAATGTTCTTTTTAGATGTTGATCGTGTTAACCTTTTTCGATAGATAGATGTTGGCTGGTTGCTTAAATCGTGTGCGAGAATTAATAATAGATGTTTGATAGTGTTAACCTTATTCCAAATTTTTTTTTTCTCTTAGAATAAAACTTTATATTTTAAACCAAAATTCTTAACATAAGATTTTTAAGAGAAATTAACAATTGACATGTTTAAGACAAGTTTGTCGATGTGAATAAAATAAATGGTAATTTGAAAGAGTTATTTCGGTTATTGAAGTGATAAATTTTGTATTTTGTATTTTTTTATTTTTTTATTTATTTTTTTTGGTGTTTTCTGATAAACATACTAATGCGTTTTCATTTTTCACATTTCAAATACTATTTTCAGACAAACATATTGAACATATTTTCAATTTTTATTTATTTTAATCTTTTTAATATTTTCCAAAAACAGAAAACAAAAATACAAAATTTTCATAAAAGAATACATCCTTAAAATTTTTAAAATTGTTTGACACATTCATCGCACATATGAAACCGTCGTACCTTATTCAATGTTGACAAAAACGAGTTGCCAAAAGATAGAGAAAGAGTTGTAAACTTTAGGGATCCAATCATTCATGTGGGTCATAGCTTATAATTTAGAATCGTATAAGGTTTTGTTTTTTAATTAAGTTGATGTTTCCTACATCACATGGTTGCCAGTAGGGATGTATACGAGCCAAGCCGAACCGAATAGCTCGATACTCAAGCTCAGCTCGTGATGAACAGTACCGAGCTCGAGCTCAATCGAGCTTCAGTATTCGTGTTCGAGCTCGAGCTCAGTATTGTGAAGGTGTACTCGAGCTCGCTTAATCGATCTCAAACGAGCTTGAGCCTGATCGAGCTCGATCGAGCTACTAAAATATTGTATTTTCTCTTTCTCCCCTCATTTTCTCTTTCTTCCTTTCACCTATCAAGTTATCACCTCATTTTTTTTATTTTCTCTTTCTTCTTTTCACCTATCACTTCATTTTGTCACCTCATCTTTTTTTTTTCTCTCTTTCTCCCCGTCCTCTTCTCTTTCTGCCTTATTCCCTTCTCTTTCCTTACTTCTTCAGATCTTCTCCTTCGTCTTTTTTTCTTTTCTTTCTCTCCATTTTCTTTTCTTTCTTCTTTACTTCTTCCATATTCTCTTCCCTATTCTCACCTCCTCTTCTCTTTCTTCTTTACTTCTTCCATATTCTCTTCCTTATTCTCAACTCCTCTTCTCTTTCTTCTTCTGCTCCTTCAGATTTTCTCCTTCATTATTTTTCTTTCACATTCTAAGCTTGAATGGAACCGAGAATGAATGAAGGTGAAAGAGAATATGAATGAAGTTGGATTTTTTAAGTCGAAAGAAAAAATCCCAAATGGGTTTTGAGTTTTTGTTTGAGCTTTGAAATGGGTTTATCGTTTTTGTCTGTGAATGGGTCATGGGTGTTGTTTGTAATTTTGACAACTTAAAAATAAAACTTTTGAAATCTTGCAAATTGGCCCCCAAAGCTCGTTTAAGCTCGCGAGTTCGATGAGCTAAGCTCAACTCAGATCGAACTCGGATCGTTACTGTTCACGAGCTGCTCGAGCTCGAGTTTGACTCGACTAGTTTCGAGTCGAACTCGAGCTTACGATGAGCCGAGCTCGAGTAGCTTGCGAGCTACTCGGCTCGTGTCTCATCCCTAGTTGCCAGCCTCTATTTGACTCTTTAATTCAATACTAAAGAAAGATGAAGATAGATGAACAAAATAAATTATATATAATTAATCAAATGGTGAGCTTGAGCCCTTATATGCAAGTAGAGATCGATTATAATTAACTTCATCCTTCAAGTAAAGTTAGAATTGATAACCTCATTTAGAACACAAGAACTATAGGAAAATTCATCGATCAAGAGAGACTAATATTTAATAAATGGTAATATACTATATAACATTGTTCATGAAACAATCATAAAATCGTAAGTCCACTAAATAACATTGAGAAATCAAGCTTTTTTAAATTAATTCCAGTGATTAGGAACCCAACTAGGTGTGTCACCTGGCCAAGGGGTCGGATCCTAGGTTGACCCATTAAACCGGTTAAGCCAACAGTCTGACCCCTGATAAATAAGTTTGAAATCTAGCAAATATACCCCTGAAAAATATGCATCAATCCCTGCAGGTTTGAATTCTATAAAGCACACCTTTGTGATAGTTAGGGTGTTGATTTTTCCAGCCAAATTCCAGCTGATCCAATGTCACAAATTCAATCTAACACCACCACCTAAACCACCATACACTCTAAAAAACTTCTCTAATCTCAGCACTTGGTAGCCTCCCATTCGCCTGTCGTGACTCACGTATACCACGACGATTGGGTTGATTTTCTAGCCAAATTTTGGCGTAAAAAATACAATCAAACACCACCCTTTGAACCACCAGCTTCCACTCTACAAAACCCTTTTAACCCGGCACTTGATAGCCTCTTGTTCATCGGCGGTTAAATTAGGGATTTTGAGAATAGTTAAAAAAGGTAACTCGACTCGAAGAAGGCCCCAGGCCTTGTCAAACCAGTTAAATCAACCGATTTGGGCCGGGTTCCTAATCACTGATTAATTCTCCAATAAGAATAAGCTACACACTCCATATATATTATGATTGGATCAAATTAACATATTAAATTTGAGGGATCAAATGATTCAGGTTGGTCATAAGAGCAAGATATATAAGCCCCACACATCACAATTAATGCCTTGTAACATCTCTTATATATGCCTTATCAAATTAAACCCTATTTTCAGTATTCTTGCTATTTTAGTTCAAAAGTAAATACCTATTAAAAGTCAAGCAATCAAAACAAGTAAATACATGTTCGCTAGGGAACTGACTTGAGGTTGGTGCCTCGACGCTAACACATTCACGTGGGGAAAAAGTCTTTTGCCCACACCATTTGCATTGGGAAATTCTATTGAACGCCAACGTGAATATGCGTAGACGTATGGTTTGAATACCAACGCTAACTCCTGATATCTGGATTTTACGTCGGTGTTGACAGAGTTTCTAATAGTGACTCTCAAAGATGAATTACGAGAAAAGAAGACATCTGGATTTCAAGTAGTGAAAAGAACTGCAACTGATTATAAAACACCCAATTGAGAACAATTACATTAAAATAAGAAAAAAAAATAATTCAAACAAAACCAAAACAACCGTGTTACAATATTAATTCAGAAATATATTCAGATGAAAACGCAAACAAAATTTGAACCTAGAGCTTTTTAGGAAAACGCAACCAAAATTTTGAACCTGAGGCTCTTTGCAAGAGTTGATCCTCTATCATTTTGGGTAAGGTGAAAAAGGGGTGAAAGTTCAAATACCATATGAAAGGTCTTGCTATTGCAGTTTGAAAGGGGATTTTTTTTTTTTTTAAAGTAATTATTTTTGAATTTTTTATTAAGTTGCATATTGTCTATGTTGAAATGGGATAATAGATTAATTTTCTTTTATTAGGGCATCATAGAGTATACTTTTAATGGTTTTTCTCTTTTTAGTAATTATTTGCACTACATGTTTATTTTTGTTTACCATAACTTGAGAGCATGACTCATTACCTTGATGAGAAGATAAACTTTACATGTTGGGAAAAAGAAAAGGCAAGAGAGAGAGAGAGAAAATTCAGAACATTAATTAAGAAAAGTAGGCAATCAGCTATGTAGAATTGTCGATAGTTTCCTACTTTTCATAAAGTAGATGAATATGTGGACAAAAATGAGTGGTAGAAAAGGAGAGGATCCATTTAAAAGCAAAAGATGATTAACAAAATATGTACTTGATTTTGTATTTGCAGGCAAAAGAACAATAATTTTGTTAGCTTTTGTTTGTTCTAGTTGTTTTGTGTTGTTGAGAAACCTAGGAAATTAAAGAAAAGAAAGTTAAACTTTTGAAACATTTATATTTCTCTCTTTTATGAAAGTTTATAATCTTACGTACTGATCAGTAATAGTACTAATAACTAATAACCCTTTATACAAATGCATGATCTTTACATGATAAAGATTTATATATAATCACTAGAATAAGCAGATGAAAGTCAAATAAGAAATTTTAAAGTTTCAATATAAAAAGTCAATTTTAATTCGTTTTAAACTTTGTAGAAATATATTTCATACTCATATATATATATATATATATAATAAAATGGTTGTTTGCAGTTTGATCTTGGAGGAGAATATATAAGAAAGCCATGCAGGTTTTACCCGAAAAAGTAGAGAAAATACTCCCTGCATTGGAAATTCGAGTACTGGTTTTCGCTAGCCTTCTATTCTACTTTATCCTCACACTATTGGGTTCGCGACGAAGATACATAGCAGGAACCTGGATAAAAATTTTGGTGTGGTCAGCATATTTAGCAGCTGATGCAACGGGAACTATTGCCCTAGGCTATCTTGTCAACGTGAACACATGCTGTGATGGTCCATATCCAAGCTTGCAACTCCAAGTATTTTGGGTACCATTCCTTTTGTTTTACCTCGGTGGCCCAGACACCATCACTGCTTACTCTTTGGAAGACAATGAATTGTGGTTAAGACACTTTCTTTCGCTTCTTGTTCAAACTGGATTAGCAATTTACGCGAGCTTATGGGCGTGGAACAATTCTCTCCTCTCAGTTTTAGCCATTCCAGTATTTGTTAATGGGATTATTAAATATGTAGAGAGAACTTACATGCTTAGGTCTTCAAGCAATCAGTGTTTTAAAGCTTCCGCGGAACATGATCCCAGTCCAATTTTCATTAAAAATGCAATGCGAGAGATGAGGAGAAAAAAAGAGAAGCCTCAAATCTTCAATGCCTTTTTTCTTTTCACAAGATTCGCTCGTTTATTTGCAGGACTGGTTCTCAAGGATGAGGAAGCGGACAAAACCTCCCAGATCATTCATGATAATTCCGCAGAAGATGCTTTCGAAATGGTAGCTATTGAGCTTGGAATCATGCACGACATGCTCTATACCAAAGCAGCGTTTGTGTATTCCCGATGGGGACTCATTTTCCGATTCTTTAGCCTCATTTCCTCCGTTATTGTATTAGTTATCTTCTCAATTTTTTCCAGTGATCTTCATGAGTCAGTGTATGACATTATCCTGACTTACTCACTGTTAGCTGGGGCCATATTTGCCGAGGTTTACACAGTCATCTATCATTTACAATCTGACTGGACAAAACTGATTTGGTCCAACTTCAATACCCCAACTCCTAAATTCTGTTCTTCTCTATCACTTTTCACCAATCATAAGCGCTGGTCAGAAACTTTGGGACAGTTCAACCTTCTAACTTATTGCATCAAAGACTTGTCGACCACATCTAATGGTTGGATTCACAAGTTACTTTATTTGTTGAATTTTAGTTTCGTAAGTCAGAAAGATATGAATGGTGAACTGCAGGAACTGATCTTCACGGAAATAAAAAGGAAAATACAACATCATTTTGAAGCTGTCTCATTGGGTGAGACTGAGAGAGGCGATCACCATCGGGAAGCTGAATTGTTGGAGTTTCGTAAAAATGCATTGGCTGAGAGAGGTGATCACGTGCTCAAAATAAGGTATGGACTTGGTGATAGGTTTGATTGGTGCACAATTAAGGTAGAATTTGAATACAGCATTCTTGCTTGGCACATTGCTACCGATCTTTGTTACTACAGTGATCTTGATGAACAAGGAGACAATAATAATAATCTTGATCCAGATTGCAACCTTAGCATATGTTTGTCAGATTATATGTTGTATCTCCTAATCGAATGTCCACCTGTAATGCCCAAAGGGATTGGTGATCTAAGATTTAGAGAGACTTGTGACGCTACCGAGAGTTTCTTGAGGCAAGATTGGTTTAACGTGGCCGTTGAAAAAAGTGAAGCGCTCAAGTCTTTTTTCAGGAGAGAGGCTCCCACCGACAATACAGATGATTCTCTGTCGGTGTTAAGGGGTGGTCGTTATCTTTTCAGCAAATTACAAGCGTTGGAATCCGAGAATGGTTGGACTAAACAGAAAAAGTGGACGATGATAACTGAAATGTGGGTGGAATTATTAACTTTTGCTGCAAATCAAAGTGGATGGACAGAGCATGTTCAACAGCTGAAGAATGGCGGAGAGCTCCTTACTGTCGTTCGTCTTCTTATGGCAAATCTTAGTTTAAGTGAACAATATCGTTCTTATGGAAGGAGCATTCCTTAGTTTAAAAGATTTCTTCTTGTAATAATTAATGTTGTTGTTGTTGTCCTGGTTGAATAATTAGAATAGATGATGAGAAAACTATGTTATGGTTGTCTTTTGATTTCAGGATTATGAATTCTACTTTAATAATTATCCAATTCTCTTTCATTAAACAGAAATTGATGTTCACACGTCTTTAGGAAAAGTAAAAAAAAAAAAAGGAGGTTGGAAGTGTAGAATGCTATTAAGTTTTATGATATTTAACTTTTTTTTTTATAGAAGAATCAGCATGCTTTTGGATTTATACCATGTAGTTTTATATATGCTCTAACACTAAAGGACAATGAGCATGATAAGTTAATAAAAATTCTCTATAATATAACATCCTTAATAATCTTTAAGGCAATATGTTTTTTTATTAATATAACATTTTCAATAATATAATATTTTCAAGAACCAAACGTATCCTAAAAAACATTTTTACCAATTAAACAGTCTAAATAAAAGAAACAACCTACAAAAATGACAATAAATAAAAGAAGTCTAGTAAATGTCACCATTGATGTACACAACGTATAAATAACGGGTATCGAAAACTGTGGTCCTTTTCATTTAAGCACTCTTTTCCCATTTTATTATTTTCTCCCTTGTAAAATATGCTATTAGTGTTCGCATATTGTTGTTGAATTAAGTGCAGAATAATAAAAAACTGCTGAACCCAAGTATCTGATATACTGAAGTTGAGACTGAAGGCATGACTAGTCAATGAAGTTACTCAAACTGGACAAAGCTACTGTACTGGAGCTGGGCAGGGTCAAGTGCAATCAACCGCTGAGAAATAGTCAAGTGCAATCAACGGTTGAGAAAAAAGTTTTATTTGAGTCACATTGATTGCCAGCGTGGACTCATCATTTGTATAAAACTGTTCAAAGATTCAATTGTATGCTAACACAGTCAATTGAAATAATAAACAGTTCTGGAAGCATCGTTTCTTCTCTCAAGGTGCGTATCTCTCGGGAATTCTTTTATCATTGAAAAGATAGGATTACCATTAAGATAGATTACTTTGAAGATTAATAGAGAAATATTATATTAATATGTTTAGTTAGATTAATGAGTATAAATAATTAATATGTTTAGTTTGGAGGAATAAAATATTATCGAGGGTTTTTTATTGAATTGTCCTTTCTTATTAATATTATTATTATTTAGGAGATTATTTTTTAACCCCCAACATTTGAAAATTTAGCTAAAACACCCCAACAACAAAAGTTTAAAATTTAATAAAATACATCCAACCACCCAAGACGACTATCGGCTACTAGCCACCACCATCGGCCGTCACCAACAGTCATCAGAATGGCGCACAACCGATCGGATTTGGTCGGTCATGTGCTGATCTAGTCGTTTTCGGCTACATCGAAGGTTGAAAACAGCCATATGGCCATAGATCTGGCCATTAACAACTAGATCAATAGCCGTTAATGACTATGGATCTAGTCAAAAATGGAAGATCTATTCTGGTCGTTAACGGCCAAATCTGTGGTCGTTTACAGCTATGGATCTAGCCGTTTCATAGTAAAAAAATGGCCAGACTAGATCTGGTCATTTCCAACCAGATCCATGTCCATCTGGCTATTTTCGACCTTTGATCTGGTGAAAAACGGCTTGATCGGCGCCGTTCCAAGGACTATCAATGGCTGATGGTCGGCAATTGTTTTGGGTGGCTAGGGATATTTTGGGTATTATCTATGTAAATAGTGAGGGTATTTATGTCTAAAAAATAATATATGAGGTTAAAGAAGTCATTTTGCACATTTGGGATAATTGTTATTTAGTAGACATATGATGACATTTGTGTCCAAAATGTTTTTTAATTAAGGGTAAAATTGGTATGAACACTTGATTACCCTAGTGATGGAAAAATAACACCCTCCTAGACAGTAATCGAATTACCCTCATTTTTACATACAATAATCACTATTGGCATTGAAAGTTTACCATAATCTTTCATTACTTGACACCCAAACGTAATAATTTCCAGAAAAAAGATAGATTACTGGTGTTATCTTTTATGCCCCCGAAACAAATGCACCCTCAAAGTTATTGTTTGTTTCTCTTACAAAATTTCTGCATTTTTTTGTTTGTTTCCCTGGAAAGTTTTGCAACTTTATGCTCTCTTTCTCATTTGATCCTAGGACTTTCACATGGTATTAGAGCTCAAATGACTAGCATCATGAATGATTTTAATGTCTCTTCGAATACAAATGACAAAACCACAGCCAAGAATGTTAAATAATTGGCTCAGATTGATGAACAAATTGAAGAATTTTAGTTTTCCAAACTCTTAGCCTACTGTAGTAGTAAAATTTGGGGAGAAAAATCACAACTACTGGAGATCTCAAGTTCTACCAGCACTCGCTTCTTTTCAACTCGAAGGCTTTGTAAATGGAGAAAGATCTTGTCCCGAGCCTTTTATCACAAGCAAGAATGATGAAACTGAATCATTGGTAAGAAAACCTAACTTTGATTACTTTATGTGATTGATCAATTTCTTATGAGTTGGTTGTATAAGGGGTGGTAAACGAATCAAGCGGCTTGCGAGCCGGCTCGAGTCAAGCTCATCCAAAGCTCAACTCGACTGTAATCGAGTCGGCTCAGCTTGATTCGTGAATATTTTGCGAGCCGAGTTCGATCAGTGCTTGGCTCAGCTTGAACGGCTCGCAAGCCAAATCTGGCTCGAAACAAAAGGGTTGATATAGGGGGTTTTTGAAACTATGGGGCTTTAAATTGTAATTTGCATTACTTAATATTTGAAAAAAATAACAACTCCCCCTTGTAAAAATTTGTAGAAAACACAATATCTTCCCCCATTTACTGAAAATCCCTAAAAGTGAAAAAGAAAAAATCACCCAATCCACCACCACATTGTCAACGTCACCATCTTATTGTCGTCATGTTCATGTTACCCATTGTTCTTGCCGTCGACCGTCTTGTTGGAGGTGATTAAGAATTAGGTACTTACCATCCCATGCAGGTGACTGCCTCAACTTGGCTATGTCTCTTCTATGGACATTCATATGACCACCGAGAGCTTGAGCAGATCTAAATTGCTTTTGCAGAAGCTAGATGTTATAAATGAAATCAGAGAAATTGGGGAAGAAGTGTAGTATTTGTTATTGATTACTTCGAGAACCTACAACACTTGTATGGTATTGTTACTAACAACTAACTACAGTAAAATATTAACTAAACTCTAGTCAACTTGCTATAACACTTTAAAACTCAGCTTAACTAACTAATTACAACATTGTAAAGTATATGGCACGTGTAAGATCTTGGTGGCCATGAAAACCCATAATTAATTGGAGTTAATGAATGTTTAGTTAAGTGGGGTCACTGACTATAGGTAAGGCTGCTAGTGTCTGCAACATTCAGTTGGAACAAGAATGGTTGATTTCCTTTTATCATAAAAAAAAAAAAAAATTAAAATAGGAGACAAGCAACATTCTTGGATTGTGTGTATACTTATACAGATCAAAGATGCATGCTTTCCTAGTAGCTCGCGAGCCAACTCGAATTCATCTCGTTAAGCCGGCGAGCCAAGCTCGAATCCCGTCTCTCCTTAACGAGTACAAGTCGAGCCAGGAAATCAACGGCACGTCTAGCTCGACTCGAACTTGAACTCGAACTCGTCCCTCTATTGATCGAGCTGAGCTCGTTTAGCCAAAAACTTGGCTCGGCTTGGCTCGCCTCAATAACAGCCCAAGTTGTATTCGTCAATCTTTAAATGGATGTTTGCTTATGTTGCCAAATGTTCGAGTTTTATGAATTTGGACAAGCCTAGAAAATCACTTCATTATTGAATCCAAACCTAGGACTATGCACTTGAGAAACTTACTGTAAAATACAAAGAAAGAGCCACCAAGCATCAATGAGTTTGTACTCAAAATGAAGGGTTATGCAAACTCTCTATTAGCTAGTGGAGTACATCTAAGTATTGATGAGTTGGTAGCTTAAATCTTAGATGGCTTAGGCCTTGAATATGATGTTGTATCAATTCATTTATGAGCCTGAGGTGATGATCTCACTTTGCAAGAAGCATAATTTTTGCTTCACAAGCATAAGACCACGCTGGAAAGATACAATAATGTTCATGGAATTTATCATGAAAATTCAACTTTCTTAGCACAAAGGCAAAATCCTATGAGTTCTTATCATGGCTTCAATCTAGGACAATCCTCATATAATGATCTGGTACCATATTCTTCCCCAATCTTCAGTCCTGTATACAATACCTTCAATGGAAGTTATTTTCTTAATCATAATTACAATTAGAATGCCTTGCTAGCACAAGATGTAAGGAGTTCAATCCGAATTCAAGAAAAGGAAGGGGCAAAAACTTCTTTAAACCAAGAATCTTATGTCAAGTCTGTAGAAAACTTGACCACACAGTTGTGCAATGCTATTATAGACTTGATCTATCTTATAATGGACCACAAAACCAAACTCAGCAACCACAATATCAGCAAATGATGTAGCCAACACCTCAAGTTAAGTTACTAGAGAAGGCAAATCAAGCCTATTACCTGCAGAAAAGTCCTAGCACTTTAGAAAAAGAAACCAGTTCACTGTTTTCACACTCTTAGCCAACTTTGTGACAAGCTAATAATTAGTCCCATTCTACAGATCCAATGTCATTCTTTGCACAACCAATATCAGTGACAGGCCTCTTGACTCTAGAGCAACTAGTCACATTACTTCAACAGTGCAAAAGCTCAGCATCAATAGTCCTTATTATGAGCAGAGAAACTTCAAGTTGGGAGTGGTCAATGTTTGAACATCACTCACACTAGTGACCTCTCTTTCCCTACTTTATTTCCTATAAAGAAATTAAAAGTAACCAGAGTATTAGTAGTTCCATAGATTACAAAAAATTTAATAAGTATTTCAAAGCTTACTCAAGATAATGAGATTACAGTTGAATTCTCTGCTAATATGTGTATTGTTAAGGAAAAGGG